TCACCGATCGTTCTTACGAACAAGCAAAACACGTATGATCTGCCATTACATCATAGGAGGACCCTTTTAAAAGTCCAGAATTTGATTGTTTGGGAATGAAACGGTCAATAGCGACTTTATGCTCTCCGGTGTAAGGTGCTTCGGTGACTTCGATTTGAATACCGATAGCCTACGCAACCACTTAAGTTCTAATGGAAGATTATTACGGAGGAAGACCTATTTGGATTCAAAAAGGAAGGAGCGCTAAGATGTAGAGCAAGGAGGCGGAGGAAGCATCATGGAGGTGTTAAGTGTGGCCTAAGACTGATCTCTCGGAGTGAGAATGTCAGTGTGGGGAAGGTAAGAGTTAGGGTTAGTGAGAAGCAGGAAACAGAGGCCAGCTCCGAGTCTTCTAATTCATAGAAACTTGGTGTTCGACAACTGACATCTCTCGATATAAAAAACTCCGAACATTTTTGATTTTAGCACGACCACTATCGTTCATTAAACCAGAGAAAGGACAGCAGCACTCGAGGACGGGAGGAACAAACATTTAATAAAGTCTTAGCTTTATTTCTGAAGGGAAAAAATATGTGATATGAACCCACATATCTGCCAAGCTTTTGCGAAGATTCTATCTGCATGAAGTGATAAAGTGAACATATTTGTATAATTTAAACCTCGGTCCTTCTTGGTGAAGGATTCTGGGTGGGTTATTCTGAAAAACTAGGGAACCAGAAAGCTTGACAGGGCCAAAAGACGTGAAACTCGATCGATTTATCAGAGCCCCGAGCAGTCGCCTCCAGTCCTGAGCCATCGATCGATGATTGGTTAACACGCTCTATAGCCAACGCTTGTTCTGCTGCTGCTACTATCTCTGACGATGGACTCCTGCACGAGTTCGAAAGCTCAGAACAATAAACAGAATGTTCCGATGCTCGATCACAATTCTCCTTCACATGAAACTACACTTCGACGGTGAAAACTTAATCTGCCATGTTGAACTCCATCTCCACAAGCACAGTAAATCGACATTAATTTTCTCAACCCAAATATTTGCAGTGTCCTTAGAATATGAGTAAACACACTTGGGGCCATCGGCGTAAATAAGCGTTTGCGGATTTCTGATTTCAGTCGAAACATCATTGATGTTAAGAAGGGAGAGTAGAGGACCCAGAATCGTGCCTTGGAGAACGCCACTCGTGATCGAGGTGTCGGATAGCTATTACCAATCAAGATCATCTGAAAACGGTTGGATAAATGGGACTCAATGAAGTCGAGTAGACGAGGTCGGATACCGAGGGCTTCCAATTTTACCAAAAGACGTCTATGTAGCATCTCGTCGAAGGTCGTGTCGAGATCAAAGTAGATAACTACCACTGACTGCTGCTCATTGCGATGAGAAGTGGTTAGATTAAGAAAGACTGGGTGGGAAGTTTCGCACGATACTTGAGGTAGAAATCCATGCTGACTAGAGCTCGGAAGCTGATTGGCTAGATAGGAACCAAGAATTTCATTGAACGAAAGAAAGGGATTGGTTCGGGCTCATTTGTAGTGTTTTACAAAGAAATCACTAAACAACTACGTCTTGTCAACATCATCGATGAGGAAGATTTTGCTAGTTTAGCAGGGGTGGAATTTCGTGACCACGCTTGGAGACGGACTGATGACGGAAGATTTGCAGCCTACCTGGCTAAAAGGCGGTGGCGAAATGCTACACCGGAGGACTGTCAGTCATTGTATTGCACATGCCGTACCCCGATTTGGATATTTCGTGTAGCCAATGAGACAAACTTCTTGATATTCAATACGAGTTTCAAACTGTTGTCTGCGCGATATTCCGCCGGTGAGCACATGTGACCAACCACACAGTGCGAAGGACAACAAAAGTCCCACACTAGTAAGAACTCAGCAACTTTCTGTCACCTAATCACAGCTTTTTCCTAGAAAAGACACTTTTGTACAAAAAGGAGGGGACACTTGACGCCAGTCAAAATATCAACGCAAATCAAGTGTATCTAAATCCTGGAAAGACTTCAGGTGCACAGAAAAAGGAATGTTGGGGCAGGTCATGAGAGGCGGTGAGCGCCGCATCAGGGCTGGGACGTAGCCAGGTGGGTACTTTTCTTCCGACGGCAAAAGCATCAAAAGTCCAGACAGGTCCTGCCAGAGGGAGGTCAACCACTCATCGCTGCCAACCTCCACGGCCATGGTATTCACAGAGCGATATTCCCCGCGAGGAACTGCAAAAGAGGAGCCGTCCCACTTCAGCCCAGGAGTAAGGAGTTTGACAAATGTTTTATCCACTTCTTCCACTAATTTAGCCTCAAGCACTTTTCGACCAGCGGCCGGTCCAGGCAGTGGTTCCTCCCTGCCATCCGGGTTGTCCGGAAAATTGTCGTCCCGGTCATCAACAACACCTGCGTCACCAAGAGTAGTCAGATTTAGATCTAGCTCAGGCAGCTGCGCAGTGAGGTGGGCAGTGGCATCCAATGACTGGACGCGTTGTATAGAACAACAGTGAATGAGGCCACTGTCAAGCGGGTGTGCCTCAGTGTTGAAAATGTAGCCGCCGCTTTCCGGCTCACACTGCTGCTCAGATGACGCCCAGGCAGGTGACGGAGAGACTGAATGCAAGCTTTGATCGCGCTCCTCTGAGGGGAGGGTGTGTAAGAAGTTATCTGTGTCGAAGAGGAGGTAGAGGTATTTAGTCGTCTCGGCCAAGAAGAATGACTCCATACGATCTTCCAGTGCGTGTGTGCGAACGTCCGCGACCTGCAGGTGAGACCAGAGGGCTACTGAGTGCGAGGGGAGAGTCAAATATGCATTGGATAAAATAAGAGAAGCATTATAACAATAAGTCATTGTCGGCTTGCATGCAATATCGACGACGAAGACGGTATTAAAGTCAGTGTAAATGATGGAAAACATTAAAAGAGAAGAATCGACGAACTCAGTCGCAAAAGGCACACTAAGGAAAAGTACAACGCCTGAATAGCGCTTATTTCGGGCTATAAGAAACCGAAATACGTCAACAGTCTATAAGACAAAATCCCAGATACAAGGGGCACCGGTGCGAGGCCTGTTGGCTAAAACTCAGGCTCGACGCAACAAGCACACTTTGAAGGTCTTCAGATTACGGCAGCATGGCCAATGGATTTAACCCGAATAACTGCTGACGCAAGTAAAGTCCCCTGATTAATGCGTTTCAGATTTTGTATTTACAGCCTAACTCAACCACCTTCCGCCTGGGCGCAACTTTTGAGGCAATTGGAGCCAAACTGAATTGTAATAGAAGGCAATTCAGCGGAAATTTTTCATGATAAAAAAGAAACCTAGCTACTACATATGTATTTAACAAAATGGCAGCACAATTATAGGCATCGCACGTTTGAAGGGTCAGTGGAGAACTGCTGCTGAAGCCACTACAATAGGACCAAGGTCACAGGCTTCCACGACACGTACTTTATATTCCGTTAAAACTCTTGCCAAATTGACATTGGACAAGGGGGAAATCGAGCCAGACTGTGCTTACTCGTAGTCGAACAACATCAACAATACTTCTGTTTTGATATCAGTCAGGATGGCTTTCGGTAAGCAGGTTCAGCAAGCTGCCTACCCTAATTGGTAGCCTGAATAAATAACGACATCAGCGGACAATGTGCCGCCTGTAAACAGTACTTTAACGGGAAAGAGAATAGATTTGTGTCATCAGTAGGCTAAGACATTCAATCGACTGGTTTTGGGTTATTTAAGGGGTACTCCATAGTATACTGTCTCCACAAGGACTTTGGTAGCACAAGTGATTTTTATCTGGACAGTATATTACCCCAGCTCACACGGTTTGAAAACAAACGGCAATAGTTTTGTCAGGGGAAAACCAATTGACATCTTGGCGCTTACCGTAGCATACCCGCAGCCTGTTCGGGCCTGGGATTCAATGGAGGTGAGAACATCGACGCCGACCTCGAGCAAGTAGGGATCTCGAGTCGCTCTGTATAGGTGCAGCACCGATTCTATAAATTCTGTGGGAAGAGAACAGGCAGACATGGCAACGCTATTTACTCTAAACGTATTAACTTTCCCGAGGAAATAGTACAGCTTGATAAATAAATGCTGAAAGCGAAACTGAGCAAATTTGCACGGGCTCGCCGCAAACAAGGAAGACAAGGGTATTCACTTCCGACTACAAAGCAGACGTATTGGCTCACAAATAGGACAAAAGCTTTGAGTGCATGAATAAAGAGGGTAAACAGAGGTGGGCGGGAGTTATGGACCATAAGAGCAGTTTCGTGTGTTATATCGAGCTACCTATGCATGTACATAATACATGGGCAGCTCACTAGGAATGCAACAGACGCAGACAACTGTTTCGCAGCCGTTACCGATCATAAGTACGTCATAAGCCATACGAAGTGAGGTATATACATGTGTGTTAAGCGAATGATTTCAGCAATTATTCAGTGCAGGACAGGGAGTTAAGTCTCCGGGACATGATTTTTTAGAGTCAGACCCGAAATTTCAATGAACATTCGAGTCAAAGACAATCAATCGGAGAGACACGTGTCACCGAAGACCCGACGAAAAAGCAGGCTGCAGCCATGGAAAAGAAGATTGATGAGCTCGCTCGTCTGAAAGTTATCAGGCCAGATGACTCCAAGTTGATAATCCCCAGTGGTCCCCATATCGCACATGCGTATGGCCTCCAAAAAGTGTACAAAGTGGATGCACCGCAGAGGATTACGGTGCTTCTCATCGGACCACCTACTTACAATACAGCTAAGTGGTTGTACAGTCATCGGAAACAGCTTACTCGGGGATCAGACTGCAGCATTAACAACTCTCATGCATTCCTCCGCAGGATCCATGGCTTCAAAGTAGGTACTGATTGATGCCTCCTATCTTCTGGCGTTGTTGCCTCGTTTTCTTCCGCACCACACGATTTGGCAATCGAAAGAGTAGCCCAACGCCTACAAAACAATCCTATTTAGATCCTAACGCAATATGTTATAGAATTACTCAAACTTTGCCTTAGGAGCTTTTGCCAATTCGATAATAAGTACCACCAACAAGAGAAGCCCGAGGGGCTCGCTAATATCAGGACGGCTCGCCGAACCAGTGTTGCAGTGACCAGAAGAGGATGCTTTTCAAATTATCAAACCTAGAATGTGGCCCCGTTACGTAGATGCTTTTTAGCAAGAATCTATGTCGGGAGTACGGTATAATACCTTTACTATATGGATTTAATACTACTCGTAGTACTACTTGTTTGTAGAATGGGCATTACATGGTTATTCCACAGTAGTTGATTGTCTTCGACTCAAATGTTCATTGAAATTTCGGTTCTGACCCTTAAAAGTCATGTCCCGGAGATTTAACTCCAAGTCCTGCACTGATTAATTTCTGAAATTATTCGCTTGAATATATATATATATATATATATGGTAGGGGGCGCTCACCGATCGTTCATACGGAACTCACTCGTTCCGTTGTGCCTTAAGGGCTCTCTCTCTCGAGCCCAACCAGCAGCCGCACAGCGGCGCATGATATATAGGCAGAATGATATAACCGGTTATATCATTCTGCCTATATATATATATATAGATGAGATAGAGCCGACAAAGACATATATATATATATGTCGGGCTCGTGGCCCGGTGAGGAGAGGCGTTGACTTCTAAACCAACAGGTCGCGAGTTCGAGGCTCGGGTGTTCCACACTTCGGGCTTGGGTATGGCTGGCTGTCGACGGCTAATAAGCCAGAAATGGCCATTCCAGTCTCCCTTGTCTTTGTCGGTAATATGATTCTGCCTATATATATATATATATATATATATATATATATATATATCAGAGGGGAGACGACAGAGTCTGGGGGGTAGATTCATACAGCACTGTTTCGGGCTAGTTTGCCTTCATTCAGCCAGTCATAACCCTGACCACCAGCTGGTACCGGAAACAAACATGCGCATAGTCGCACCTGGCGCAGCTGCTCCACCACTGGGGTCTACCCCAGTGCAAAATAAGGTAAATAGCAAAGACAAGGGGGGTTGGAATGGCCATTTGTGGTCTAGTAGTCATCACCAACTGGCCATACCAAACTCCAGGTTCAAAATCCCTGAGGTTCGAACAGCAGTCACTAACATCTTCCGCAGACGTGGAGGGGAATTGTTAGGTCTCTCTGAGATCGGTTTCGGCGGAATGGCTTTATAAGTACTGGCAAACCTAAGCCTTGGAATCCATCCTGTTGAACGCAGACGGAAAAGCAACTGAAGGCATGGTAAACCAGTATACTATATAAGAAGGATGGCTTCTAGGGGGCTGGACACACTGTCGAGGAACCAGGTTTTAGAAGCGCACACCGACCAGAGTCTACTACGAACAGATTTCTCAAGGTCGAAAAAAGATAAGACTCTAGCGAACAATGAGGAATAGCGCATTAATGCTTCGGTTTAACAGATGTAATTAGCTGGGCTGGGAGAAGCATGGAATCATACATGCATGGGTGTAAACTGGATCACTTACGAGAATACTACTAGAAATTGTCACCCGCGTCCACCAGACGAGTTAGGCCTCATATCTAGCAGCACTAAAAATAATTGCTCTGGCGGGGGAAAGGCAAGCTGTGCGCCGATTTGACTTTAGAACTAAGGAGTACCGATTTCCCAACCACATACATAACCCCTTAAAGCTACATCCAGGCTTGCAAAGCTAAAGGGTGATTGGCCAAAGTGTTGGATAAATACCGCTTGCATTCGACTTCTGACGACGGACGCTTGTGAACGTTCCAGAAAAAGAGATACCAGCCTAGTGCGCCACAAGTGTCACTCTTACTCCGACAAGTACGTAGGACTTAAACACGTTCCTCTATTCACGAAATAATTGCAAACAAAAGTGCAAACCTGGCCGAAGAGGATAAGCTGCTCTGCCTGACACCGGTTTGCCCGAATTGATGTCGTACATTTCCGGAAGAAATCCGTATTTCTTCCAGACTTGGTGGTACTGCAGAAGGGACTCTTTGGCTTCTTCAATATCCCCAGCGAGTGCCTACAAAAAAATTACACATTTCAAGTCAACGGTGAAAGAAAACTATTAAAAAACGGAACAGTGTGTGATAACTGGGCACATGGTCAAAAGGCGGGGGGGGGGAGGTACAGCAAAAATCGCCTGGCATCGGCTCAAAAGCATGTAAGTCTGGACAGACTCAGACCACCATCTCTCTCCTAATCGTCGGCTAGAAGACCGACTTAAAAGTCTAGAGGTAGGCATAGCTAGTATATGAAATGACTGAATTAATTGGATGGGATTGGTAAAATAAACGCGATCCAGCAATGCACGTTGGAGGACTCCTACGACTCAATTGATCAAGTGACTCCATTCAAACTCATCGGGAATAAGGACGATTCCTCTAGTACAACAGCCACGCAATGGTCAGGCCACTGAGTCCTTGTTCCCATTAATAACCAACTTTGAAAATGTGGATGAACTGGCATACGCGCTTTCAGCTTTGAGAGTAAGGTCAGACAGCAACAACTTCTAAACTGGAGTATCGACCAGAAAGCACGCGGGGAATGCTGAGGGACTTATTGGTGAGCCTAATCCCTCGCAGCTGTGCCATGCAACGGCAGAATATCGGCGAAACACGTGTCTGGGCTTTTAGCTAATACCTGTGCTGCTACTATGGTATCTTTTAACACTAAAAACACTGGTGGCCGCCTGTCGGCAGTTAATATTACGCGGTTGTCCTGCTGTGGCTGATGAACTTCGACCCAAATAGCCATACATCAGATTTCGGCCTGCGCCTAAAGACCTCGGCTTAAACTGATTTACTCCAAGTTAGCAGTTGATTTCTGAGAAAATTAAAAAGCAACCAGTTGGATTCATGGCTAAGGGCACTTATTTAAGACCTATAGAGTAAAAATCTGCAATCCTACATCAAACTTTTAATTAATAGGTTAATGGGGGATTTCACTTCGAAAAAGGTCCAACTCACCAAAACGCCTGGCCAAAATGACTCTAGACTCTGAAACAGTGGACTTGTTACACTGCCTTGTTTCATTGAAACCATATAATGCCAAGAACCGAACTTCATATGTTTTCGTATAATTTGACGGTAATCTAAAAGGAATTGAAAGAAACTTCTCCTGAGTCTATAAATCAAACAAAAGTCCTTAAAGGGTGTCAGATATGCTTGCTACAACTAGGCTACCAGACTTGTGGGCAACATTACGTAAGAATCAGGGAATGCAGAGCCGTGATAAGAAATGAGACCCTGATACTGATGGACGGAATCCGTTAAAGGCTCTTCTTAAAATGGGCGACTTTGTACTGTTAAACCTCAGAACTGACATTCCAAAGGTAACAATCCAGCTGACGACCGATTTTGCTAAAGATCAAATGGGCAGAATGGTATTACCGACAAAGACAAGGGAGACTGGAATGGCCATTTCTGGCCAAATGGTTTGCAGAACAGATTGGGAAGAAGTACCTGGTAAATACATCACACCGAGTTCTGTTAACTTAATTTAACCATCAGCCCACGGAGATAGCAAAATCGATGCTGCCGAAGTTGTCTTCACTACAATTTACATATGAGGCTTAAAGGGTTACCAAGTGGAGCGAAAACCTGCTACCGAGGTCCGAATGAAGACGCCAAGTTTGTTAGAAAATTGTCTGGATACAACGATCTTGGCGTGTGAAATACCACTGGGGTGAAGGTGACAGGTGCAGCGGAAATTATAAACACAATCAAAACACCGAAAGTTGGGCATACTGCGTGGGATAGAAACCAGCGCCACATCTCGCTCCGAATCGTTAAGCTAGATCCTAGTTACCGTGTGCGTCCATGGGCGAAGGATAACGTGACAACCTTTATTGGACGCCAACAACGGGGTTGGCGGACTTCCGTTTGGAAAATAATCAATCGCGCAGCTGAACCGGCAGTCTAGTATACAGATTGTTATATATATCATAAAATCCAGGGATGGCATCATAATAGAGTCTGCGGACCGTTACTTAAAAAGGTCCTCCTACCGCCGATCCTTGTGATTTGGTTCTAAACAAAGGTCTGAGAAAGGCAATCTAAAACAGTCAATCCAGACGACTTGTGAGACTGCTAGGCAGAAAACTCCCAAAAATCGTAAGAGATGAATGGTCGAGGGCGCTATTTCTTGGTTGTGGCCTGAACTACATAGGCGGCGTGCGATATGAAGTTTGGAACTATTCCGCACTTCCATTATCGCTCCCTGTATCACACATACCCTTCATACATATTTTACGTAAGGAATATATCCTTGTACTCAGCACTGAGTGTATCACCACGTTCGCTAATGGGTGACTGAACATGAGACATGTTGTGGAAGTGTAAAAGTCAATAAAGAGGAATAAATACTTACCACGGAACATAGCGTCGAGCTCTGGCATTCGAAACATAATTGCGCCCTTCAAGAGATACTCAAAATACGAGTCCACACCGGCTCCTATGGTGGCCTCACTTCCAACCCACTCACCCGTCAGGACGTTTATGTGATTTCCAATGAGGCCTAGATGTGATCGGTGAGCCCAAAGAGCGCGGAGAGCTCGCAGTGCCGCCTTTTCGTAGCGAAGATCACCTGTACAGAAGGGAGAGTGATAAAGGGAGATGCATTGACAGGCGATGAGATATGTGTGATGACAAAAAGTAGAAACCTGCCAATGGTGTTGCTATTACGTAGTCAAATGCTGACGGACAATTCCCTAAACGTGCACGTGCGCACACGCTAGTTCTGATACCTGTGGATTGGTCGATTTATGGCGGTTCTGTGGGGAACTTAGGTTGTTTTGCTGGTAAGGGCCAAAAACCATAGACAGCGAGATATACTTATTTACCTGTCAGCCTTGACAAGGCACCAAATTCAAGTATGCAAGTACCGATTGTAGCAACACATGTCACTGGAGTCTCATGCAAAGGAACGCCACCCAATGCCAAATTAACAGTGCCATAGGGCATTCCACTGGGTGTATTGAAGGCGGGAAGTATTCTACTAGCGAAGCGTTCTGCAAGGTCCAGCAGCCTTCCATGACACGGCCATCCAGGCTCTGTATCCATTCCAGCCTTCTTAGCGAGAAGATGGGCAGATAAGAGGCCACCAACAACTGAAACCTTGGCGGTGAGCAATAATGGATCGTACCTCTTATATTAGTCTCGAAAACTGACACGTTGACATTTTTGTTCGGATCCAAATTTTTCAAAAGCAGTTCGACAGCGCGCCTAAATTCAGTGTAGTTGCCCAACACCACAAGCGTGTCCAAAGAATCGACAAGTGTCAACGAAAAGCTCCCCCAGGTATCCTGTCCATCACAAGTCAACGGCCGCAATTCATCATAAGGGTAGGCGTGTTGGAGATAGTTATCATAGGAGTGGTAGAATATGCGCTTTACGCGTTCCTTTAATAGATGAAGATCTAAAGAGTCTTCTATACATATAACGCCGGCGCAAAAAACTGAGTAAAGCCAATAAAAAGACAGTAACTTCATACTGCCGAGGAGGAAGTCATTGACGACGCCTGGGGTGAAAAAGAGCAGTCGGCGCCGAGAAGGGATGGATTGGCATTTAAACGGGTTTGCGTTTCGCACGCAAGTGGGGCCGCGATTTTCGTAGAATAATATTCTCGAACTATAATAGAGTGTGCGATTTGCAGACTAATATATCGCTTCAACGCCGTCACTTTGTATTTTCACGCCTCCACACTTCGAGTTTCAGCCAATTGTCATTGCAAGAAATACGATCGCGCAAACCAACCAGAGCGCGCCACTGATAGCCCGCTCAAGGTCGGCTCGTGTTATAGTGGCAAACCGGATCCTAGATGGAACTGAGGCCCGCGTACAGAATATGGAATCGATCGTAATAAATCCCAACAGTGCAGTGGATGTTCGGGTAGGTAACTCATGAAGGGAGTAGTCGCTCACGGTCACAAATATTCTTCTTAGGCAATGCAATTAAAAGCACCCAAATTCGAATGCGGGCCTGCATACTCCTGAATAGTTTAACATTTTATTGCAAAGATTACGCAGAATGTTTATCACAAGCCAAGTGCTGACGCACTTAACAGAAATTAAAGAAGTAGATAATGAAAAACAGGGTTGACGGACGCACAAAGTACGGTTATCTTTGTTGCCGAAAAAATAAGTTAAGGGATTAAAGTTTCTGAAGGCTAAAAATGAGCTTCGCTATAGTTCGATGTAACTTTACAGTGGCACACTGTTTGGCTTCGGCATGGGCTGAGAAACAAAAAGGCGACAGCAAAACAACCAGCCGTTGGAGTGTGCAAGCAGTCTCATGTGTTGGCGGGGAAACTGTACATGTCTTTACATTTGCGGATAGGACGAATTGGAAGCATTAATCGGGAGTACGGCAGGCACTGTTGTCATGCGAATATTTTTTGAATACATAATTACAGTGATGTCTGGATTGGGTGAGGACATACAGGTTTACACGGATATTAGTACCTAGATAGCCACTGAGAATAGAGGTCGTAAGCAATTACTTGGGCGTAGGATAAGCAATAACAACCGATCAAGCTCTTCGATACTTTTTAATTACCACGTTCCAGCTAATTATTACTTTGAGGAAAAATATATCCCATAGCGAATGCCTAAAGTTTCCTTAAATATACTTAACTGATGCTTCCCTCACGACCATAAATGTTGCTCCTGCAAATATTCAGAAACTGAGAAGCCAGCTTACTAGCTCGCACTCAGAAGGAACTAAGAGCATCCCGAACTCTTTTATTAAACAGCCAAGAGATTTTCCTCCTCTGCATACAAAACTCTCTTCAGTCTTTCTCAAAAATGATATCTTCCCGTACTATTGAAAACTTTTGTCATTATTGCACTATGTAGCGGCCGCTTCAGCCCCCCCTTTTCTCCGGCTCCCTTTTGTCGGTCGATGACCGCGACAATCGTTGACAGGCCGTTGACACACAACCACCGCTGACGGCTAGAACTGGGACCCGTCCTGTCAAGCTGCAGTGACCCCCGGTAGCCCTGACAAACTACTATCACATCACGCGCGTCGCACTACCTGGCTTGAAAACCATGAGCCCCGGTGATTATGCGAACCCCTAATCCTCCATTATCTCGTTCAATCTCATGATCCGTACTCAGCAAGTCACCCCCGCAAACAAGCCACCGCGACTGACTTTTCTGTTATTATTTTTAAAGAGGGGTTTTTTCTCCTGTAAAATTAATCCAATCATTTTTAACTTTTTCCGAGGAGTTTTTTTTCACCCCTCAATCTTCATGTTTCTCAATGGACTTCTAATTCAGAAACTATGAATTGCATTTTGTAAAGATTCAGCCTACCTCGTCTAAAACTCGCATGCAAATTTATTTTAACTTGCTTTGATGGGACCCCGACGGGTCTTTAATAAAAATTATCTATCTATCTATCTATTCTCTGTGAACGGACGCTTATCTCTGTCGCAAGCAAACAGCCAACTTACGGCAACCTGCCCTGTGAACACCCCTGCTAAATGATAACAAAGTCTTCCTCACCGATGACACTGACAAGGCGGAGTTGTTTAGTGCTTTCTTTGCAAAACACCTTGCTACCGAGCCCGATCCGGTCCCTTTCTTTCGACCACTTTCAGACAGAACACTTAGTACAATTGATGTCTCCTCAGATCTCATTAAGAAACACATAAGCCGTTTGAAATACTCACACTGCACAGAAACGGACGGGATTCCGAATTCCATTATTAAGCAAGCGTCCGACCTTCCCATATTGCTTAGTCATTTATTCTCGGTTTATATTTCAAAAGGATTCTTTCCTCAAACATGGAAAACGTCAATTAACATTCCCGTCTTCAAGTCAGGATCTCGGTCCGATGTTAATAACTATCGGGGCGTGCACAAAACGCCGTCTCTAGCAAAGCTTCTCGAAAGGATTATTTTCAATGAAATTCTTGACTTCTGCCTAGCTAATCGGCTTCTGAGCTCTAGTCAGCATGGATTTTTACCTGAACGATCCTGCGAAACATGTCACTTGGCTTTTCTTAATCTAATCACTTCTCTTCGTAATGAGCGGCAGTCAGTGGTAGTTAGTAACTTTGCTCTTAGCAAAGCCTTTGACAAGGTGCCCCATAGACGTCTTTTAGTAAAATTGGAAGCTCTCGGCATCCGACCGCCTCTACTCGACTTCATCAGGTCCTATCTGTCCAACCGATTTCAGAAAGTCATGGTCGGTGATAGCTACTTGACACCCCACTCGAGCACGAGTGGCATACTTCAAGGCACGGTTCTGGGTCCGCTACTCTTCCTTCTGTACATCAATGATATTTCGACTGAACTCGGAAATTCGCAAACTGTTACTTATGCCGATGACCTCAAGTGTGTTTACTCATATTCTAAGGACACCGCAAATGTTTGTGTTGAAAAAATTAATGCCGATTTACTACGCTTAAGCAGATGGGGTTCGACATGGCAGATGGAGTTTTCATCATCCAAGTGTAGTTTCATGTCTTTTGGTCCTACCAAACTTCCTGGTCCCATAATTTTTCAGAATAACCAACTCTCAGAATGCCCCACCATAAAGGACCTAGGTGTAAGTTATACAAATAAGCTTGCTTTATCACCTCATGCAGATAAAATCTCTGCCAAAGCCGCGCAGATATGTGGATTCATATCGCATAATTTTTTGCTTCCGGAAATGAAACTAAGACTTTATCAAATGTTTGTTCTGAGGAGAATGAATTGCAGTCCTCGAATACTGCTGTCCTTTCTTGGGTTTAATGAATGCCTGCGACCGTAATAAAATCGAAAATGTTCAGAGGGTTTTCACCCGGAAACTGTTCTCTCAAGCTTCGTCCAGTATTTCTTATACTCAGAGATGTCAGCTGACAAACATTAACTTTTTGTGGGTTAGAAGACTCGAAGCTGGCCTTTGCTTCCTTTTTCGCATCAACTCTAGCTCCAGTCTTCCGCACATTGACACTCTCACTCCGAGAGATCGGTCTTATGCCACGCGCAACTCCTGCATGGTGATTCCGCCGCCTCTTTGTACTACATCTAAGCGCTCCCTCTTCTTTGCTTCCAAATATGCCTTCCTTTGGAATAATCTTCCGCCTGAAATTAGATTATCGCCTAAGTTACTGGTATTCAAGTCGAAATTACGCAACCATCTGACACCGGAAAGCATAAAGGCACTGTTAACGGTCTCATTCCCGAACACTCAGATTCTTGACTTCGAGAAGGGGCCTCCTGGGATTTAGTGGTAGAATAAGTGGTAACTCTTAATTATATCATTAGAAACCCCTGTTTTGAATTGGTTTCTAAATCTACTGCTATCACTCCTCCCCCATAGCGACAATTTTCGCGGTTTTTGATGTCATCTCCCGCATTCCGACCTCATGCGGTCTGTCGACGCTCACGGCGGAACCCTCAGTATTCACTGTCTCCTAGTAGTTCGGTCGTACCTCCCTTCCCCACTGCTCGGCTGAGCTCAAAGCGTGCTGTGGCCGATCGCATCTCGGTTCCTCTCGTCTGGCCTCTTTGACGCGAATAGTCTCATGCGGCGTGTCCATCCGGCCCAGACGATCTCAATTGTGAATCCCGTATACAATGCCCCATGCAAGCCAGTCCTGTCTGAGCCGCATACGTACCCCTCAAGGCTGAGAGTTATTGCTACCCTGACGATGACCGACAACATTCCGTTATATACCGCCACCTACAGGCCAGTCCTGCTCGCTTTTTTCTGCTATTATTTTTAAAGAGGGGTTTTTTTCTCCTGTAGAATTAATCCAATCATTTTTAGCTTTTTGTATGGAGTTTTTTTTCACCCCTCAATCATCATAAATCTAAATGGACTACTAATTCAGAAACTATGAATTGCATTTTGTAAAGATTCGGTCTACCTCGTCTAAAACTCGCATGTAAATTTGTTTTAACTTCCTTTGATGGGACCCCGACGGGTCTTTAATAAGAAATTATCTATTTATTTACAGAGTAAACTGGTCCTGACATCTCCCTGACTTCTGACATTAGACGAAACGAACTTATTGTGCGTGGTTTAAGTTGATTTCACATCCTGGACAGCCACAAGTTTTTAAATCTGGCTGTCGATTTGATGTTTAAAACTACCGAGGTGTCCATATATCGCCTTCTCCCGCCGAAAAGTTTGAAGAAATGGTCGCTATGAAAGTTACTGACTTTTTTATAGCCAAGCATGTTTAGTTAAGTCTATTTTAATTTTTTTGTTAACGTTTCCCTGAGTATCATTCCGCCTCCTTTGAAGTAAGGGTGACTGATCACGGATCAAACGCGTCAACTGAAGAACTACGCGTGCCTACATTCCCACCAGAGGAAGGACAGACTGGAGGAAGGCTTCCCCGCTACTTCTGGTTTCCCACTCAGTTGTCTTCTCCCCCCCCCTTTGACCGCGTAACCCGTGATCCGTTCCTTTCTCCAGAAAACTATTTAATAAACGTTCAGTTGCTGGCGATTCGATTTTAATATTGTCTGCTGAAGTGCGCGTGCTTGAGTGTGTACCATCTTCATGCAAGAAAACGCAGAGACGAATATGCTTATCGTCACTCCCATTGACGACCAACGCCAATCACGTCCGAAGGCATCAATCTAGACGAAGCTAAACAGACAGGTAACCCGGATATTGCATGCTTTCTACCCGATCGCTCTTGGGGAACGCTCAGTTCAGTTCAATTCGGTTTTTATGAGGCAGAAATAGGTATTGAACCTTTAAACTCCCTGTTTGTCACAAGGAGGCGAATTATATTTAAAATATCAAAATGCAAACACCAAGCAGCTGCAGACTTTTTGGAACAGACCTGATCAACGAATTACCACAACTGTTAAAAACAGTAACACTTCCAAATGTGCTG